ATCTCTCTATCTCTCTCCAACCTGAAATCACGAACCGATGATGAGTTCATCGGAAAGCACAACAGTTTTTCTCTTGGTTTGAACATTCGGATCTTTGTGATTATTTTGTCTTGTGATTTCTTGTCTGAATGGCAGTAAAAAACAAAACACCACAAATCTTTTTTCAGGCACCCATGTGTTTTTTACTGCTGATTTTGCAGGTTTTGACCACAGTTGCACCGTTCTTTTTACATGACCAGTTCAGCTTAGAGATCAGTTTGGTATTCAACGATTAATTTCGATTCGACTTTATAATATTAACTTCAAAAATAAATCGAGTTGGAGATGAAATGGATCTAAACTTTTCTTTTTGTTTATTAAGTTAAATTGATTGTAAAATAATATGTATTTTAAATTTTGTTAATCATTTGACAATAAATATTTAATCACCATGTTATAATTATTGATGCTTAAATCTGTGATCTCTAAAAATAATAACGAGAATTTTAACTATTTAAATAAATTAATTTACGCTCGATATAAACTTTTAAATGATAGGGTGAGACCAACTGTTTTAAAGGTGAGGCCAACTGGTATGCAATATAGGTCAATTCCTCGACTTATTCCAAATCAAAAGCCGAATCTTCCCTTAATCAGCTGAAAGGAAAAGGCAGTTCAAATTACAGTACTGATGGACATTGTTATTTTGGATTAAAATGCATGATTTACGGCGAAAAAGAAGAAGAAAATGACAGCAATCAAATTAACCCCATAAGTCACTCTCTATGACAGGCACATTTGCATGTTATGTGAGGGAAGAAAAGGGATGAAAAAGGTAGCCGAGGCCCACCATTGCTCACCTAAATATAGTGCTCTGTTGAACCAGGAGAGGGCCGAGACAATGAGAGAGGGACCTTTGCCTTTTCGTGTAAGGGATGTTAGTTGAGTTGGACCCTTTGCGAATAGTTCGAGTTTGTTTCGATTCGGAATTTTAACGAGCTGAATCGAACAAGATTCAACTCGATAAATTCACAAATTGATGATTTTATAATTTTTTAAGATGTTGATTATTTTATTTATTTTGGATTGATTACATATTATTACATTTCTCTTTCAAGAACATTTGTAATATGATAGGTTTTTGTAGTTGAGGATTGTTACTTTATAGTTTAAGCTTTAAAAATACTATACACATTTTTTTGATAATTTTTTTGTTAAATTTATTAATTTATGTTTATTTTAAGTTTTATATAATATTATTAGATTCTACATGTATTTTTAAAAAATAAGACAAAAATTATTACGAATTTAACAAACAATTATTGAGTATGGAGTCAAGTCAAATATAATCTAACAATTTTTCAATCGAATCAAATATTACTCAAACTCATGATCAACCTCGCATCTAATACCCTACGTAGGACATGAAGGCCATGTTACTCTACAGAGTAGAGTGACCCTAAGCTCTCTTGTAAAGACAACATAGTAAGGTCACGTGAGATCATTCCCCCAACTGCTTCAAACCGCTAAAACATGTTTTTTTCTTTTCTTCAACCATCTCTTGAAAACTGTAAACTGCTCTCTGTGACTGTAAATCACCAGTTCCCGAAGTCATGTTTTGTCCTTTCTACCACCTGGTTTTAATAAATACTCTATTAACTGATATAAGGGTAGGGGTATGATGTATAATCCTGTAAGGACCTTCCGAATACCATAAAATAATGGAGAAAAAGTTGAAAGATTCATGATTGTGTTCAAGGTAGTTCAACTAGTTTCTTCAAAAGAAAGTAGGAGGAATGTCTCTATGCAACTTGCTGAGTTTAGACCCACTATGGGAAAGAGATTAAGGGGTAGGGCAGTACCTGGTATCCACAAAGCCTAGATGATAATGACAAATTCACAATGGAATTATATTGGGAGGACATTGACAGCAGAGACAAGGCCTATATAAAGGCCAGAATTGATGACCCCGTTTTCATATATATATATATATATATATATATATATATAAACGATGTTCGATGAACTGTCTGTAAATCGATCGTGTAACGTTCGTCTATTAAGCTGAATAAATGAGTATGAATAAACATTTATGTTCATTTAATAAATGAATAAAAATGTGTTCGATTGGTTTTATTCACAAATAATCTCATTTGAAAGTTCATTTATAAACTCATTTATAAGTTAATTTATCCGGTTCTCATTTTCTTTTTCTTTGTTACATTTTAAATATCGATGAGGGTAGAGATTAAATTGAACACAGGGTAAACTTTGGAGTTTAAACTGTGAAACCTAAAGAGCTAAAGGACTAGTGACATAATTTCAATATTCTTAATTTATTTTTTGTTTGTTTGTTTGTGTAGTTAACATTTATGAACATATTCGACAACATGTTAAAAGAACATGTTCACGAATGTTAAACAAACTCAACGTGAACACCTAAAAACTAAACAAACAAACACAAATGTTATATTAGAAATTTGAAGGAACACAAACCGAACATAAACATAAAACAAGCAAACAATCAAACAAACATGAATACTTGTTTGTTTAAGTTCGGTTTATTTACACCCTGACATGTACAACCTATAATAAGAGAGCATTTGTTGATGAAAAAATTGTCGGATCCGATATCCGAATTTACACACTCCTAATTATCGCAATGGCTTCTTAATAGTTAACGCGTACAAATATGCATGGACACTGGAAATGATCATCCTTTGTACTCACATATGCAGAGAGAAAGTGGTAAATCATATGACATGATTTTGGAACAACGTAATTCATGTACAATTCAGTTAAAGATTAAATTAGCAAGAAGAATGGGGCCATATTGATTAATAGAAGTTACAATATCCACCATCTCTAATTTCCCTCTTAGGGAGACTTGTTTCTGCTCCCCAAGGAAAAAAGATGGAAAAAATTGTATACACATTATTAGATGTTTGCATGACACTGTATTGGTTGATTTGTGTTAATTATCTCACAATCAATTCAAGCGAGAGCACAAACCAAGTGACCTCTATAATAAAGGAATTATTGTTATTCCTCGAGGACCCGGGTTCAAGCGCCATAGATGGCATGGGCGAGAGCGTTCAATGTCAAAAAGTTGAGAGTTATCGTTGACCAGATACTATATTGTACTTACCCCATATTAATAAAAAAAAATCAAGCGAGCGGTATGTAACACCCCAAATTAAAAATCCTGGAAATTGAGAGTTTTCCTTCGAATCCCAAAAATTGGGTTTAGGATCAAATTGAATTTTGATAGAATTGTAGTGACCAAATCGTAAGAAAGGAAAAGGTTGGCGACCTTTTAAAAAATCCTAAAGAATGAATGGACTTAGTTGATGATTTACCCATTGTTTTTAAGAGATTACTTCTCTTCAGAACCCTAGCCGCGCCTCATATCCCCTTTTCCCTTCCTTCCTTTCTTTACCACAACCGGTGCCGCTTTCAAGATACTGCAAACTCGCTTAAAAACTGTGCCATCATACTTCTTCAACGGTGATCAACTCAAACAAGCATCGACAGGCAACACGTACTTCCAAATTCTACATGGTGTATCCCAAATAACTTTGGTTGGTGACATAACCCATGATAATGGGAATTTACAGAACGAAATTGATTTTGCTCCAAGGTTGCAATGTTTTCAGCAAATTTAGCAACAACACCGTACTCTTGCAGACAAGCGCGATCACAATTTCGAAACAGCTCCACTTCATTATTGAAGGAGGTGTCAAAAGCCGAAGAACCCCGGCAGCCTCCAACCTCAGACACAAATAGGCCCCTTCGAGTTTTACTTAGAAATTCTCGTTTACACTCTGCCGCTAATCGACACTAGTTACTCGTTTCGTTTGGTTCATCTTTCGAGATGAATTTCATTTGGAAATATCAATGGATTCACTCATCGGGATGAATTTTACTTTAAAATATTAACGTATTCGTCCTTCTGGATGAATTTCATTTGAAATATTAATAGATTCACCATTCAGGATGAATTTATTTCAGAATATCAGTGGATTCATCCTTAAAGGATGAATTTCACTTCAAATTATCAGTGACTCCTCCCTTCAAGGCATGCACCACTTTAGATTGTGTGTTGCATAGAGTGGTTCTAGAGAATCTACTGTTCGAACGATGTAAAGCGATCAGGTACATTTACATTTGTACATCATTCACACCTTGAAATATTATTAATTTGAATTGTGAATATGATTTGTGATTTGAGACGTGTGTTGTTTGCACTTTAGAGTTCAAAGATTCACTAAGGTTAATAGCTTACAACCCCATTTAGTTCCCTTTCAGATTATCAAATTTATGCAACTTGGTACTTGGAGAGTTACATCATTTATTTTCAGAGAAATTATTATTTATAGTATGAAACTTTATTCGGATTTCTTACTTTGGATTTATATTTGTAATTTTATTTTAGAATTATTATTATAATTATGTAATTTGGTTGCATGACTTTAGAAATATTTATTATTTATATTTAGTTTTCATATTTTATTTTAGTAAAATTATGAAGTTCGAATTTGTGAATCGTTTCTTTAATACAAATATTAGTTTTAGTTTGAATGAAACACGATTTTCTCAAGGGTAAAATAATATCATTTTGGCTCTCTATATTCGACCTATTTCTTCAAAATAGTTAAAATAAATTTAATCATCAAATTGAATGGTGACACATGGCTCTATCCCATTGGAAGATTAATTTTATTTTAATTTATTAAAATTAAGACCAAATTGATAGAATGTATGAGTAAGAGTAACCAAATATGTAATTATACCAGTTTTACTAACTGCCACGTCCATACTTCCATTAACTGTTAACTACAAGTGATCTGAATGAATGTATTTAAATAGTTAAGTGACCTGATTTAATTTTTTTTAAAATAGTGGTCAAACTGGTATAATTTACCCTTTTTAAAGTTACAAGGATTCCGATGCCTTTTTGCCATGATTTACTTGAAAAATAACATCTTTACCAAAAACACACAGTCGTTGATTATTTGCCGCTGGGGAAACATCCGAGACACAGAAGACACTAAGCTCAAAGGGAATCTTAAAATGGGTGTCTTCACGGTTTCCCTGATGAGAAAACGTTTGTAATTGGAGTTTTCTGGTAACAAAGCATTCAACGATTTAGTCTAATTTGCATGTTATAGGAATGTTGAGAGTACATAGTTTTATACTAGTGAAACCCTTGTTCTTTGACATTGAAATTTGTTAAACGAGAAATCTCTATCCTTTATTTTGATGGGTGATTGATGTAGAGTTAAGGAAATATGTACAATCTCAGTTTCTAAACAAGTGAGCTACTCGTCATTTTTCCTTTATGATATATAGTTTCATCTAGAATATCTGTGTAAATTTAGTAAACAGATGGTGAACTAAACTTTTGGGTTCTCTTCCTGCTACGGAAGCTATTTAATTGTTCCTGCATCAGGCGTTTGTTAGTGTTAATAGTCAGATTCTATGAAGAAAAAGTCATCCAAAGAAGGTTACATGGGTTGATGAGATATCTGAAATGAAATTCTAGAATTGTGAACCCCCTTGTAGCTTGTATATGTCTACTAATCACAGGAGTTCCAGTTGAATACTTGGAACCAGGCACAATAGATTTCACAATTCATCTGGCTATTACTGCACTCGTTTATCCTGCATCGAATGGTGGGTTAGCTTGTGTTAATGCGTAGACAATTCTTTCTTGAACTCCAGGTTTTATTTTATATTGCTTGATATCACTTGAAAATTCCTATGGGGAATTTACTTTATGGATTTACAAAGTTATGTATTGCTTACAATCTCCTGGTACTGACGTCCTTTCTTGGACTTTTGAATGATGCCTGCTTATGAATAATGGATTTCTTTTAGAATTTATTCGAACTTCATCACGGAAATGCTGTGCAAAGCATGACGGTCCATTGGTTGTGGCTTGAAGACGCTCTTGCTGCCTTCTTCTTTGATGACTCTATCAAAGGCGTAAACCACTATTAGCAGTATAAGTTTTCATTCACTTTAATTAGTTTCTAATTTAAGGTTTTCAAAATTTAATTTCATGTTCATAATTAGGTCCATGAATACTTACATCTTTATTTGGAAGCCTTAATCAAGTCAAAGGAAATCCCTTTGTGATTTTTCATCGAGGGAATGTTTGACAATTGGCACATTGCATGGCACGGAAAATTAATGCAGATTCTTCCTTCGCTTTCCCATAAACGTCGTTCTCACTTAGTATCCTACCACAAGTTTTCTTCCTTCTTCACTTTTTTATTCAATTTCCCCTGACCATGGGTTACAAGAGGCACCCAAAGAAGAGAAATGTTGATCCTTCTTCTCGTGAGATGATTTATAATAAAAGCAGGGAAACCATTCTCAAGAAGGCCGCTGAATTATGTGATTTTGATGATACTGATGTTGGCCTTCTGATGTTTTCTCCTACAGGTGAATTGACCAGCTATGCTAACAAGGGAAGGTTGGTGAAGAATATCAAATTGATGCCACTGTTATTTATGTTCTTTCCATGATGTTTTGCTAAACTTCTTGTTATGCCTTTTATAGGGTTGAGGATATGTTTCTTCGTTATATTGAACAGCGTGATGATTTTGATGGGTGTGTTTTGTCAAATTTCTCTATTTTTGTTTCATAAAAGATTTCTCGAACAGTTAAGCTAAAGGTTTTTTCCTTGTCTGTGTATCTTCCTTGTTCATCCCCAAAATATGCTCTTTATGTCAGACCTCTTGAAAATGAAGAGGTAGTCTATCTTTCTCTCTTAGTATTCTTTCCTTTGCCTCCTTTGTTGAGATTGTTTTTGTCTTCATAACTCTTTGTTGCCTATACTTACAGTTCTTATGCCAAGGCCTGAAGCATTTGAAGTTCGAAGCTGAAATGATGGAAAGAATGGATCGGTGTGATGTCCTCCCTCTCTCTCACTTTCTCTCCAAGTCTGCAACATTTGCATGCTAACACAAACAAGCACAAGATGTTTATGCTTGGTTTTAATTTCTTTCGTTCTTACAAAACAATTTTTTTTTCTTATTTTATCATATGAACATGGTTTATCGGTTGCTAATGCGATGCATATTCAGTGTGGAGGTAAACAAACTTCTGTATAGCTTGCTGCCTTTCCTACCTAACGCTGCTAGTTCCGTGACACTCTGATTTTTTTTCGTCTTTTAATTTCCTAGGCTCTTGAGAGTAGACTCAATGAACTCAACCGGCTAAAATACGAAGCTGAAGAGAAGATGAGGTCATTGTTTTTCATTTTCCATTGTCCTTTTTCTTCATATTTTTGATCACTTTTGACAAGTTTGTTGCTGGTTTGGGACAGCTTGGGATGGTTCGACTAACATACTTTATTCTGCTTTGTACGGATTAAAAAAAAAAAACAGGTTTTATAAACCAGATGTGTCAAAGATCCACTCAGAGGCAGAAGCTCATTACCACCAGCAATTTCTTACCCATGCACTTCGAAAAATTGAAATGCTGAAAGTGAGTTAATTTTTACTCGATTTTTTTCGCTGATATAATGCAAGTTCAACAACATCGCCAATATTTCTTCTTTTCACAGATGACGAAGCTGCTTGAGGAAGAGGCTTCACCTCCGAACCGCACTTGTGATGGGGCTTCAACGACAAGCGGATTTGGCAGTTCTTAAGAGGTTCAATGGCTGTAAAAGCCTTTTTATGGTTCTTAGAAACACAAAATAAGGCGTTAGCGATTCCAGCCGCCATTAGGCAAGCAGTTGTTTCCTTAGAGCTTAAGCCCCTTTATCCTTAGAATTTCATTAAATGTACTGAAAAAAATACACCTTTCACAACTCCGGCGACTAGTGTGCCCCTTGACTCAAGTTTCAAACTTTGAAAATGGCTAGTTAGTTTACATATGGTTTTCCATACACATCCGGTTGCAATACAATGCGGCTGGCAAGCTGTTGAAAGTTGCCCTTTTTTGCACACAATAAATTGCAGTGTCGATTAGGGAGAGAGAGAGAGAGAGAGAGAGAGAGAGAGAGTTTTAAATATTGAAATCTGAATTTTTAAACTTATATTAAACACCATTTATTGGTGGTCGTGTGTGGACGGTTACATAAATTAAAATATACGATTTCGTATACAATATCGTATTAGGACGGTTACATGGATTAGTACTTGTGAATTGGTACAGGTGATCCGCGTTTGAACGGTTACATGCGGATAATTATATGAAATTAATATTTAAAGGAGTTCACAATTCACATGGTACAAGGTGTAGGATTTTGGCCTTCGCACATGTTTTGAGTCCATCGGTGGATGAACACGAAGACCAGTTGGCCCACATCCTTGAAAATGTGAGCACATTGTGCTTGGTACAGATCAAACGTTTCTGGTAGTGTTCCGGGTGATTATACAAAAGTCATTTTAAGATGGGTTTAGGGGTCACAAGCTGGATGGATATATAGGGGTTCAAATCAGGTGGATGGTGAAATGGAGAAAGAGAACAAAATTCCAATATATTCACCATACATGGAAATGATAAGCCAAGCAAAATATCATAGCCCATTGCAGAGTATCAACAGAACTAATACTAATATGAACCCTAGAGATGGAAAAACGTAACAAGAATTCAAAGATAATATGATTATACTATTAGAGCAAAGGGGTAGTTAAATGGCTTTTATTTTCATCACTTAATATCATCACCGCACAGAAATTCCTCTCCTTGGCCGAAACCAACTGCTCAGAACCAAAAACCCTGTCAACAAAGCATGGTCTGTCCCACGTGGCTGTTAATCAATACCCGCAAGAGCTGCTGCCAATTCATCCTTCCCAGCCCAGCAAAGCCGGCATTAACATGTTGAGCCGATGAGAAACTGAAAGTGATGGGCATAGATTGGAGAATGGAGACTTGAGCCTGCAAGAACCGAATGTACTTAGATGCTTGTGTGGGTGTCCACGGCCTTCTCGCCGAGCTTTTGCCTATCTTTCGGGTGAGCCTTCTGTACAAGATGATAGATCGAGGAGCATTGAAGTTGAAGCTCTTGACAACGGAATTTGGGTTTGGGAGTTGATGCGGCGGACACCGGGGACGTGAACAGAGCGGAAGATGTGGTTCGACTCTCGGTATCAGAGGAGTAACAAGAGTCAAGGAGCTGAGAACGGGAGGAGGAGGGAAACCAGTCTGGGTCATGGGGTAATGGGATCGTCGATGATGATGCTGTCGAACTCGGTGACAGTGGAAGCTAAAGGCAAAGGATGGTAAGAGTTAAAATGAGTAGTGCGACTGAAATCATGTTTCCATTTTGTTGCTTTAAATGCAACTGTATGGCTACTACTAGGTAGCTTGAGTTGAGATTGTAAAAATGAATGATGTTAAGAATTACAAAATACAAAGATGAAAACTGTACATAAAAAATTAATATAGATTTAAGTTAATTGGATCCTAAATCATAATGGGAAATGAGGTTGATGACACTTTCTTGTACAGGTGGTTTTTCTGGCAATATCGGTCACGACCCACATATTCTGTATACTCTTAGTGCTGTGCAAGTGCTTTCCCTTTTCAACAAGCTAGACGTTCTTGACATTGATAAGGTTGCAACTTGTATCCTATCTGGATTTCTTTTGATGAAGACATTGAAAAAGTTGCAATTTGTGTCATATTGTATAATTCTTTATGAAATTATCTACTCTTTGCTGGAGAGTGCTACTATTATGTTACTATTATCCATTTTCCATAATTGTTTTAATATATGATTTGCATAGCTTTGATTTATACTGTTCCTAGTTTTGTTGACTGGTCGGAGCTAACTGTTTAAGGGTAAAGTGTATTCAGGTGCTTCTTTTATTTCTTAAGTCTGTAGGTTAGACATTACTGGGCTGCAAAACGAAGACGGATCCTTTTCAGGTGAAATGTGGGGGGAGGTGGATACACGGTATATGTTCTTTCTGGATTTTTCATATTTCATGTCTTATTTTCAATGTAAATCCTTTTGTACTAGATTGATTTTCCTTGGTTTAGGTTCTCTTATATTGCCATCTGTTGCCTTTCAATATTACGTTGTCTGGACAAAATCAACGTTGACAAGGCCGTAAGCTATAGTCTGAGTTGCAAAAACCTGGACGGTGACTTTGGATGCACACCTGGTGGCGACTGGCGAGTGTCATGCAGGGCAAAGTATGTTAGTTTCATTGTCCACGTGGACATGTGTAAACTTTTACTTGCATACTCATAGCGAAGATTGCTAATTTATGGTGTTTGGTTCATTTACCAATGAGCTTAAAACAAAGTACTCTTAATCTCTGTTTTGAAAATCGGATCGGATCGGCCGGTTCAACCGAGAATCGTTGTTTAGTCCGGTTCAATCTAAATCGGTTGAACTGCTATTAGTGAATTGGTCAGAACCGCTAAACCGTTCGAACCGGACCGGCTGAAAACCGAAAAAAACCGAGAATTTTGTTTTTTTTAAAAAAAAATTAAACCAAACAACGTCGTTTGTTAAACGAGCCAAGTCGAACTCGAGTATTGTTGAGCTTGACTCGAACTTGAAAACTTTAAAAGTAAGTTCAACTCAACTCAAACTCACAAACTAAAAATTATCAAGTTAAACCCCAACTCGAAATATAATATTAAAACTTTAACTCAAAAGGCTTGAACTCAAAAAAATTTAGAAGCTCGGTTGAAACCTAAAATTCGAGCTTGATTGAAGTGAAAGAATAGTTCACTCAATGCTCACCAAAAGGCTCAATGATTTTGAATGCCAAATTACTTTTATTATTTATAGAAGTTAGTTGTGATGCTCTTCTATGTTTCTTAGCAATGTGATATTGTTTTGTTCTCATATTTTTACTCTTTAGACTTTTGGGATGCTCTTCTATGTTTCTTAGCCATGTGAGATTGTTTTTAAAAAAAAATTAAACCAAACAATATCATTTTGTTATGATTTTTTTAACCCCAAATTTATTTTTTAATTATAGTTATATAATTATATTTATTATTTAATATGTTTTACCTTAAATATTATGTTGTAGTTAATTTGAATCATTTTGTTTCACTTGATTTTATGGTTTTTAACTTATATATGTTATGACTTGCTTTGAATATGACTTGTAATATAAAAAATTATTTTTTATTAAATATTTTTGGTATTTTTATTTAATTTTTTAAATAATTATGACGTCGTCCGATTCTTCCGATCGATCAGACCAGTTCGATCGATTGAACCAATAAACCGATAATATGACCGGTTCGTTAACCGATCCGGTTCTGAAAACCATCCTCTTAATAACAATGATAGATAACCTTTGTTGAAAATGGGTTGATTTTCTGTGTATAATGACTGCAGTTTTCTGTTGTGTGGGTGCTCTTGCCATAACGGGATCTCTACATCATGTTGATAAGGACCTTCTCGGGCGGTGGCAGTTTTCTGGACCTTCTCTACATCATTATACTATGTTTATATATATATATATATATTTTATGTTTTTTTGTGATTGCTATTTTATATGTTATGCTATAAAAGTTGTGCTTTTTGTCTGGCAAAGGGTTGGGATGTTAAGTTTATAACTTGGGTTAATGGTCGAACTAAACTTCCAAAAACTAAATTAATTGAATATTAACTCAAAAATAATTTTAAATAATCCCGTTGGTTTCCATTTAATTGAATAGAATGATCTTTTATATATATATATATATATATATATATATATATAAATATTGTTATCCGATTTATTAATTAACTAATTTGAGTCGAGTGTTTCAAAACTTCAATATGGAACGATCTGCTTAATTTAACTCTATACACAGATATCAACATTCGAATTCTAATCTTGCTTAGGATTCGAATGTGACCTTGTTTAAGATTACAAATTTTTAATCTTAAGAATTTAGTACATGTCTTATTACATGAAGTGATTCAAACAAAATGTAAAGTGGTTCTGGGTGCCGGATGGTACTCACTAATAGGGCATTGGGATTTTCGATTGAGTGCCTAGTTTTCGTACTTATGTTAACTTTTTCCCGAGAAAATGTTAATAAAAAAATGAGGAAAAATAAAAGAATAAAAGCAGATCATGGAAGGATAAAACATGAGACATGCTCCTTTCAATTAGGGTTTATTTGGTTAGGGAAATGTGAGATTCTCAGGAGAATGTAATCCACATTTCCTGTTTGGTTGGTCGGGAATATCATTCCCGGTAATCTTACATTACTAATAGTGAATTTTTTTGGATATATTATCGAGAATATCATTACCTCTTTTTTCTTAGGTATTGTTGGATTACCGGTGTTTTGGACTAAAATGCCCTTAAAAAAATTTTCTTTCAAAAATATTCTTATTCTGTCATTGAATAATAAAAATTCTACGAAGGTTAAATTACAAATTTATCCTTAAACTATTTTAGATTTACAAAAAAGTCTATAATTAAAATATTATATGAAGTTAAGGGGTTAAAATAAAAATTTTACTCTTTCATTAAACCTTTTTATATTTTTAATTTTGTAAAAAAAAGTATATAAATTTTATGAATTTAAAATTTTTAAAGAAAATATATAAATATTTTTCAATTTGTTAAAAAAACAAATATATAATAAGGACAATTTGGTCAAATATACATTCTAATAATATTTTATTCCTTTAACCAAACACAGTAATCTTACATTTCTGCTAAACCAACCAACACAAAATACAATATTACCAGTAATCATATTCCCTGATAATCTTTTATTCGTACTTATAATCTTACATTCCGTGAATCAAATACACCCTTAGAGTGCACTCAATCCCCTGTGGAATGTGAGTGCTCAGTATTTATAACAAGTTAACAACATTATTTTTTTTCTCCATCAATGGCCTGACATTTAGATGCCCCTTTTATTCAATGAGCTGGCCTGGCCTGATTCTCTCTACTCCCACTATATCTCACCAGAATTACTTCTAAACCCAAACTTCACAATATTCATTAGGCTGTGACCTAAAATTGCTAATTTAAATTTAGTACCAACTACTCTTCATGCCCCTATGTGTATATATAACCCATGAAGGTAGATATAAGAAGTGGTATGTTGGGGTAAAGGTAAACAGTGGTAAACAAAAGGAAGAGAAAAAAACATTTGGTGGTCGTTGCATTAGGGATGTATATGAGACTCGAACCTAATAAGGTAAGATTTGTTTTTTAAATTTGGGTTTGGGTCGGATCAGATTAGGTTTTTGAAGGTTATATTCGGGTCGGGTTTAAAGTGAAAAAAATATCGATCTGATTTGACTTAAAAAATTTTAATTTTATCTTATATATTTTGGGATAATTGCAATAATATCTCTCTATGTATTTTTTTCTTTCAATTAAATCCCTATTTTTATTGAATAAAATAAATATTTTTTTAATAAAATATATTATTTTGAATCGGATCAAGTTCAAATTTTATCTCAGAAGACCTAATCGGATTTGGGTTGAGTGAAAGGTGTATAATTTTCGAATCAGATAAGGTAGACCGAACATCCAAACCGACCTAACCCATGTCCCTCCCTAATTGCCATCATGACAGCTCCATCCGGTTTAGTCTTTAAAACATTGGGCAGTTTACTCAGCTTGGGGGGATAAAAATTAAGGGACAGAAGACCCACACAACAAAAGACAACACCTCTCCTTGCCATTTTTATTTTTCCTTTTCCAAAGCTAATCATATCTACCACATGGTTAGTTTGCATTAATCTCAGCTCCCTCTCCATTGGCATCATATTCACTTCCATGCAAACCTTGTAGGCAACAGCTAAGCAACCTACCCTTGTTTCATGTCACATTCCACCACATCATAAGATTCTCTTATTTATTTGTAAGATGCAGAATTATGATTTATCATATATTGAAACAGTAATTAAATAATTAGACACTCCATTAAATATTAACATGGCCACATAGGCAATAGCCGATGCATATCGATTACAATAGTGACGAGTGCTGGCCGATGACATGAAATTTTAGTTGGATTAAAAGATGAAATTAATATTTTATTTAAAATTTAGAATTAAATTAGTATTTTACCTAAAATTAAAGGATAAAATTGAAAATTGATATATATCATCGCATGAGTTAATATCTTCTGGTTAAGTGATCAAAATGTAATAATTGACAACCATAATGATGAAAACACTTTTTTTTTAAATTTAGCAAGTAAAGTATACATGTAAAAAAGCTAATTAATTTTATAATTTATCAATTAAAAAAACACAAATCTCGAGGCTTAATAAAATAGCATTTCTAATTAAAAACTAATTTTTTTTCCTTAGAATAAATTCCCCCACGCTTTAATTTATATGAAAAAGGAATAATGGAGGTTTGTACAGTCCCAGCTGGCACTAACATCAGCAAAGTTAAACACACATAGAATAGGAGTGTAAATCAGCCTAATTAAGTTCGAGTATTGTTGAACTCGATTTGATTCGAAAACTCTAAAGTTTAAAATTTTCAAGCTTAATTCGAACTCAAAATCATGAACTGAAGCTCGTGAGCAGTTTGAAAAAAGCTCAAAATGAAAAAAAATCTTAAACTTAACTCGATTGAAGCCTCAAACTTGAACCTTAAATACATAAAAATCTTACTGTATTTTAAAAAAAAAATCAATACATAAATATTAATATTATCAATAATTTATTTTTTAAAAAATAAATCTTAATATATTATATTTTCGAGCTGCTTACGAGATTTTCGAGTCGAATATCAAGTAGCTCTTTTTGACTCGTTAAAAACTCGAGTCGAGTTCGAATCCATTCGATCTGAGTATTTATCGAATCGATCTCAAGTAGCTCATAATCTGTCTCATTTTATTTACGACACAAAATAGATAAAACGATAGATATTCATTTCACCAACTCACCGTCGGCTGCCCCGCTTGAGACTCACGCTATTCCCATCTGCCCAAATCCTCTCGTTTTCACAACGTGTCAACTAAATACGGCGAGTGATTTTTACTTGTACATATTTGCGAATAGTTGTGATTGTTTTGCTCTGAGAGTCCCCGCCGAAATCAAATGGTAGCGAGCAAAGATGGAAAAACAATCGAACCAATCGAGAAAAATCGAAATCGAATTAAATGGGTCTGGTTCGGAGATAATAAACGGAGATCGGAAAAAATCAAATGTTTTAAATGGAGACAGAGATAAGTTTGGTAATATTCGCCCTGATTACCCGAATACCCGATTAGATATCGGCCTGATAAATATTAAAATAATTATATATATATATAATATTAATAAATTTAATATAATTTAATTTAAATTATATATATAATATTTATATATTTAATTTAAATATATATACCTGACCCGATATCCGTTTAAATAACTATTTATGTTAAACTAAAATACTCATTTTACTACGATTTTCCTCGATTATCTGATGAAGACAACCGTTTAAATTTCCGTAATTTTTTAAATTGGGACGAATACTGATTTTTTACCCCCTTGCCATCTCTAACCCACACCACCAGTGACAATTGGGACAGCTAAGAAAACAGCTGTAGTTTATACACGTGGCAGATGATCCTTTTGCAGAACACAGACATGTCGTACCAAGTGGCCCTACCACACACAGTCCTCGGATTTGGTTCCGTTAAGAGGGTTAATTGCATGGTAACGGCTACATATTTTAAGATTGAGATTTTTGGGCATCTAATAAAATAAAATGTATTATCTAGATTAATTAAAACGAAATCTTGGAAGACGAAACAGTTGTATATTCATCAACTATAATTTTAAGTTCAAATCAGAAATGATGAATCATAAACGATCTATTTAACTCACCTATTCTCACCAACACTTACATATTTTGATGTTTTTTATCATTTTTCATTCAAAACTCATAATGAATTTTTTATACTCCCCTCAACTTGTGCTATTTTTCATAAATAAAATCTTGAAATCGTCCTTATTTTACACATTCTCAATTCAAATCCTTTGACGTGGCATTTCCAATGTGGCCAGCGGAATCAGTTCATTGAAGTGGCCCCCGTGTGGTCCTTGTGAAGCCAGCCAATGGAATAATTTTGGGCCTATAAAGAATGCCCTGAGTGAGTATTTTCAGAGCAGAAGCTCCACCATCTCTCTCTCTCTGCTTCTATCCCTTCCATAGCCGTCTCGTTTAAAATGTCTGTTGTTTTGAGTTTCTTCGTGGGTCTCACGGTTCTGGGTTTTGCAAGCTCGGCTCAGTTCCACGAGCTTTATCAACCCGGTTGGGCTAACGATCACTTCGTCTATGAAGGAGACCTGCTTAAGCTCAAACTCGATAACTACTCTGGTAAATAATCCGCCATTCCAAAGCTTCATCAACCTCTAAAAGCCTTTATGTAAAAAAAAATCACTCTTTTGTCCATAATCTATCTTTTACAGACCTTTTTTTTATAGATTAATGAAATGGTGCGTTGATAAATATTTCAGGCGCTGGGTTTGCATCAAAAAGCAAGTATTTGTTCGGGAAAGTTTCCATGCAGATTAAGCTCGTAGAAGGTGACTCTGCCGGAACTGTCACTGCTTACTATGTGAGTATATATAAATTTGACACATTCACTATCCAGTTTTATTCTCTGTTATTTCTACACTTTTTCCGGTTGCTGATGATAAAAAAGTTGGCCTTTTTCTTTTCTTTTTCTCATGTCGAGGCTAATAATGCCAAGCAGTAGCAGCTAGCTACCCACTCTAATGAACCACTTTAAAGTCAATTTATTTCTCCTTTGTCGTCCCCACCATGTTTATTCCATGAAACCAATGATGCTGCAGTAAAGATACTTTTATCTTCCTCTTAATCATGGATTTACTTTTTCACTTAATTTAGCTTTGAAATATTGTTTGACGCACAGATGTCTTCGGATGGTCCTTATCACAACGAGTTTGATTTCGAGTTCCTGGGCAATACCACAGGTGAACCTTACCTTGTTCAGACCAATGTGTACGTTAACGGTGTAGGGAACAGAGAGCAAAGGATGAGCCTTTGGTTTGATCCCACCATGGACTTTCACTCTTACTCTATCCTTTGGAACCAGCGCCAAGTTGTGTGAGTATTTTATACGTATACACTCTCGACGGACACAGTTGTGAACAACTCGGTTATGTACGGCCATTTGAATATAGGGCATTGCTTGATTAGTTTATGTTTTGTGTTTGATCCAGGTTCCTAGTGGATGATACCCCAATAAGAGTGCACACCAACATGGAACACAAGGGAACCCCTTTTCCCAAAGACCAAGCCATGGGTGTATACAGTTCAATCTGGAATGCTGATGATTGGGCCACACAGGGCGGCCTAGTCAAAACTGATTGGAGCCACGCACCCTTTGTCGCCTCCTACAAAGGGTTCGAGATCGACGCGTGCGAGTGCCCCTTGTCGGTGACAGCAGACGAGGTCGCCAAGAAATGCAGCAGCACCGGCGAGAAGAGGTTCTGGTGGGACGAACCGACGTTGTCGGAGTTGAGTTTGCACCAGAGCCACCAACTCGTGTGGGTGAGAGCCAACCACTTGGTCTAGGACTATTGCGCCGATACCGCTAGGTTCCCCGTCATGCCTGTTGAGTGTGAGCACCATCGCCACTAGTGGGGCAAGAGCAAGCTATGGAAAAGGGGTTCATTTGGGCACAATGTGTATGGGGGTGCACGGGGGCAGTTGAAGAATCATTGTCATAAAAACAAACATGTACTCCATGTTTTCATAAAAACAAGCACTTATGTTACACGTGTCAAGTACTATATCATTAATTATGTACAAGTTACATTTATCACATTATCACTTTGAAGTTTGGATAAATATGACTTGTCATGTTATTGAAAACCGTAAATTATAGTTAACTTATAATTTTCATCCAATTAAAGATTAGTTTACTCCAAAACAAAATATTAAAAGTTAAAATATATAAAAAGAAAATAAAGATCAAATTGATTATTTTATTAAAAAAATTGAGGACATTTCTTTTACATTATGTGACTAAAAGATAGTGTACTTTATTTACATTGTCATTCAAAAATTAACAATATGTTTATATTTCTTAACTTTTCCGAGGATTGTAAATATGAAAAATAAAAGGAAAATTTAAAAGTTTTGATGGAATATCAACAATTTTTAGAATAAATGACTAAAAGTTCTCAATTGATACATTTTTTCCCTTTTAGGTTGTGAGTAATGCTTATTAAGAGCAAATTTTCTTAGGAGGATATAGAATTATTACAGGAGGATGTATCGGGCAGTGGCGGGTGCACTAAGCCCCTATAGGGGCCAAGTGCATTCTCATTATTTTGAAAAAATGGTTAAATTTAACTTAATGTTTTAAGGAAAAAAGAAAAAAATTACATTTTTTTGCATACCCATTATTTTTAAGAAAAAAATTTAAAATTTTGGATCCTCATTCTTAAATTTCTGGATCTGTCACTGGTATCGGGATCAATTCAGTGTGACGTGTAATGGGTAGAATTGTTGGTTTCTTTGTTGGATCTTGTTATGTTTTGTTCTTTCAAGAGTGAGTTATGTATGCATTTTTTACTCCATCTAAATTTAGAGAAGTTTTTAATGGGACACACATAATTCTTCATGTGTATGATTTTATCATTTAATCATACATTTTTTATCAAAAAAATAATAATAATTTTGAAATCAATGTATTGTAGGAATATTTGAAATTCTTTAACAAAATCCGTTAATTATTATATAATATAATAAATTTTAAAAAAATAAAAAATTAAGATAATATTTTTAATAACTTATACTCTTTTGAATAATTACGATAGATGTTAGGGAATTGTTAAAATTTACATAATTAAATAAATAGATATATAAATACATAAAAGTGGTACTTTTATGTTATCTAAGACATATTGAGTTATAACTTTGATTCCCATGTTATCAAATAGTATTTATTCTTATTAATCTTATATAATACTATTATTTTAGATATACATATATATTTAAGAAAATCACCATTACACGAACCGAACGATCTCATTAGTAAATGAATTGTTGTTATTTATTGAGGTCCCGAGTTCGAGCACTAGGAATACCAATTATGGAAGCGTTTAATGTCAATTGGTTTTGTCTTCTTGTAGAGCTAAAGTTGTGAGGGCATCTAATATGTCATCAATCCTTGAGTGAGAGAAATCACCAACTGTGAATTTTTCAAAACCACCCTTTACTTGAACCATGCTATGACCAGCTTCCTTCTTCAGTCCACTCCCCTTCATCTTCTTTCTCGCCTCTGCAACACCATCCCACATCTCATCTGAAGCATACAAGTTTGACAATAGAACATAGGGTGATGTGCTCACTCCTTCATGTTTCAGAAGTTGTTTAGCTAATCGTTCCCCCATCATCACATCTCCATGCAGCCTGCACGCAGATAGCAGGCTCCCTAACAACACCACATCTTCCCCGAATTCAGATCTCCTCATGTAATCTTCTGCCTCGTATAATCGGCCAGCTCGTCCCAGCATATCGATAAGACACGAAAAGTGTTCTATATCGGGAGCAATGCCGTAGGTTTCTTGCATGCAATCGAAAACAATAAGGCCTTCATCCACCATGCCAGCATGATTGCATGCCATCAGAAGTCCCGTAAATGTCACACGGTCTGGCTCCAATCCGTCCGCCCTCAGCTGCTCAAAATGCTCCAGGGCTCTGCTTCCAAGCCCATGGTTCCCAAATGCAACAATGATGGTGTTCCACGACACAAGATTACGATGGGGCATCCTGTTAAATACATTATAAGCATATGCAATGGAACCACATTTCGCATACATGTTGGTGAGAGCATTATCAACTCCCACATCTTGATTCAGCCTTGTTCTTATCAGATGAGCATGAATCCGCTTGCCGAAAGATAACGAAGCGAGTGCAGCAGCCGCAGAAAGGACAGTAGAAAAAGTGAAATCATCTGGTCTCATGCGATATGCATTAAACATCTCCCCAAAAGCTTTTAAACTTTTTTCATGATTTTCACAATGATAGCAGGCGGCTATGAAAGTGTTCCAGGAAATGACATCCTTTTCCTGGACTAATTTAAAGGCTTTCTCTACGTCTTCCACCAAACTAAACTTCGAGTACATTGTCATTATCACATTACCTATAAAAGCGGTGGAGTCAAGCCTGTGTTTGATTATCTGACAATGCAATGTCATTCCTCTGTGTAAAGCATTTGAGTCGGCACAACTCTTGAGTAACCCAACAAAAGTAAAGTGATCCGGCAAAAGGCCTTCTTGATGCATATGTTTAAAAACTTGAAAACCGTTTTCAGCTTGCTGGTTTTCTATGAATCCTGTAATTAAAGCATTATAAGACACGCCATTTGGTTCAAAAGCCTCAGAATAGACTGACAAGGCATCACTAGAATGACCGCATTTCATGTACATTGAGATAAGGGAGTTAGAAACAAATGATACAGATGTGTGCCCGGACTTGAATGATTGAGCATGAATTTGCCGTCCTTCCCCTAACAACAAGAGGCTGGAGCAAGCACTAATGGCACTGGAAAATATGTACTCATTGGGCGCAAGGTGCATTTGGAAAAACAAATCAAGTGCTGATAAAGGGATCCCAGCCTGGTCATAACCAGAGATCATGGCAGACCATGAAACAAGGTTTCTTTCAGACATTTCATCAAACACCTGTCGAGCAAAGTTGATGCGGCCGCACTTCGCGTACATGTTAAGGACGTGGTTATAAACGAGGACATCGGCCTGAATACCAACCTTGAAAACGGCAGCATGAAGTGAAAGTCCAGAACGGAATGCCTTAGTTTTGGAGCAGTGGTGCAACAGCGAGCCGATAGCTTCAGGAATCATTTAATCTAGGCACCGGATACAACAGCGAGCTGATAGCTTCTTTCTTGGCTCTACGATTCTTTTTTCCTTAGAAGCGATAATTGTTGTTAATGAAGAAACGGGCAGCAGAAGACAATTTTTTGGTGATGGGTGGTTGAGTTTGTCAATGAAACCAAGCTGAGATTCAATGTCACCACCATGGGTAGGGTCACCGGGGAAGAAAAAGAAGAAGAGTTGGGTCCGAGAAAGCATTCGAAGGCCATTACTAACAACATAGAGATGAGAATAGCGGTAGCAACAAAGCCTAAAGACAACAGTGACTGGGTTATCGAACATGGTCGTTTTTTCTAATGTACAAGGACCTTTTTGCTGATTATTAAAAGTATAAGGATTAAATATAATAGGTGCTATAACATGGGGACATTAAGAGGATTTTTACTATAAAGTAAAAGAATCCATAAAGTTTATAAAAGTTCAAACCATTCATACATGTGAAGTGAAGCAGTTCTTCCATTGTTTTTCTTTACAGAGAAAAGATGGTCAATGCTCAACTCGTTCAATTTTGAGTGCACCATTTCTTGTGACCGGGGCTCCATCACTGAAATAACTCGAAACAACTCTCGAATTCAGAAGCAAGATAATGGGAGCATACTTGACGCACCTTGGTGTCTTGTACTGGTTTATTGATGCACCCTGCGTTAGAGCGAAGTCCATGAGCATGTCGAATGTGCCATTCTCCACTACCCTTATCTCCAATGGCCCGATGGACTTGTCCGAAACCCGCCCTTGCCGGTACACACTGTCGAGCGATTCTTCAACCGTGAAGCAACAATTCTCGAAAACCGACGAAGGGATCAAATTCACATCTTTAATACTGAGTTCCCAGTACAGCACGTAGTGACCGGGAGTCGCCGATGTGTCCGCATAGCTGGTGTATTCCACCAGAGATGCTTCAAATTGCCCGAGTTGGTTCGTGGCGTTTTTCACTGCGTTTTGGAGTTCAGCCTCGTCGGTTTTATCTGAATCAATGCTGAGGACAACGTTTTTCCTACATATGAAGTTGAATTGTGGGGCGTTGTTCTTGAATCCGGACACACGAAGTATGTCTCCGACTCGGTATCGATAAAGACCTGCCAACATAAAACATTTCCCTTCTCAGAAACACCAAAAACAAGTAACGTATCAAATCAAACATGTTTTCAAGGCCCTGCGTTACCTGCATATGTTGTGACGGCGAGCTCGTAATCTTGTCCCATTTCGACGTCGACAAGATCGACGAGTTGTTGTTTCTCTTCGTCATTCAGGGCCGTTGGTTCGGAGATGGAACTGGTTAACTCCTTTTCCCTAGTCACCGGCAAGAACTCGAAATACGCCATGGTGGGGATAAGGGTGTAGGATACCTCACTAGGCTTGCAAAGCGGGTCAAGATTGATTCCGAAATAACATTCGGACGAGGCGTACATAGTGCAAACAAGGGGGAGGGAGTTGCTGTAATAATCTAATGCAGGTATGTACTGAGACATGGTACCTGTGACAATAACATCTATGTACTTAGTGTTAGGCCACAGTCTAGTTATGATCCCTTTCCATGACCCATTGCTACATTCTGCCTCAACAAAATCAGCCAGCTTGGGGTTCAGTTTCAGGATTCTCGAGACGGCTTCTCTTACGGAAGGATCGGTGATCTTCGAGTCAATAGTTCCGGTTCGGATATCGTTACAAAGAATACCCCAATTTTTTTCAAGGAAGTGAATTGCTCGAATGAAACCGGAGGCGAAAACCGCACCGACCCGAACGACTTATTCGTTTTGACATAGACCGCAAAGCAACTGAGAATACATGCTCTGGTAAGAATCCAGGCAGAGAATGGTGGTGTTTGGGCTTGTATAATTGGTGTAGGGATCGTTAGGCTTATTTTTAAAATATGAGCTCTTGTAGTAGCTGGTTAAAACGGGACGAGGGACGAGCCACGAGCCCACCCGTGGTCTTAGCTTCTGATTTCACAAACAAAAAGTACATTCCCTTCCCTTTGTCCAAACCCGGGACGAATTGACTAATCACAGGCATCAACAAGCTATAAAGCAACGATCTCCTCTCGAGTTCCTCGTCGATCGTCGGCATCAGCTTCCGCTCGCCGGCAGACGTACCCGAGCTATACCATTAAACAACCCCACGCAAAACATCATAATTCATGACCATCTCCAAAAAGAACACACATAATTCAATATTTAAACACCATGGACTGACTTTGTTAAGAACTCTGATATAGGATGTGAGCAAAGAATCTGAGACGTATCGCCATTTGCGATACGCTCGATATCCGGCTTCAAATCTTCGTACGTGACGACTGGCATCACCTTCTTGAACGTTCCTCTATCGGTACACCCGTTAAGGCCGCTCCTCCGCAAGTACTCGGTGTCCGCGCTACGTGAGAGAATCTTGGATAGAACTCGCTTCTGCACTTCATCAGCGTTAATGGTAACGTCCTCGATGAACTTCAACGCCTTGTCGTTGTTTTCGAGGACGGTACCCTCGTTGGATAAGGCACTGGGAGCTTCCGGCATGGCTTTCTGAAGCAGAAGAAAGGCAATATGAATATGCAAAATATGATATGAATATTGAAATACGAATTCTGTGCAGCAAATGAAGTGAGAGCAAAGGAGATATATATAGGCCAAATAGAAGACTAATCCCTACAAAATGTTACAATCAAACAGTAATCAATGCACTAACACAGGAGAAAAAGGTAAAATCTCAATTAAGGTCTCGAGTTTGAGTCTTTGTAAATGCATAAAACTCTTGCTGGGAGACTCACCCAACAAAACCATATGTACGACGTCAATCAATCCGAATTAATCAAGACAAAATCTTAGAACGAGAAAAAAAAGTAAACAAATAGTATACTAATTTTCTCTTTATATTTTTTTATATAATAAAGACGAAGGATCGTATTTGACTTGGGCAAATCTTGCGGGGTAAACTTGCAAAGTACAAAATGTTTTGGGACTGGGAAAAGTAAACTGGGCACATGCGTGCATGTATTGTGGTTGTTATCCAAAAAACCAGCAGCGGCTTCAAGCTTCTGCTTAAGTAAGATTACGTGAATCCCTCTACGCAGACGCTTCAATACAAAGTATATTCATAGATAAACATTGGGTAAATGAACTTTTCTGGTGTGATTCATTCAATCATCTTTAGTAGATGATATTTTGTAAATCTAGATTCAAATAATAAATTTATATTATAATTCAATAACCTACTATGTAATTAAATTACTATGTAATTAAATAAAATTAAAAATAAAAATAATGATTAGATCATCAAATTTTCTTAAAATTGATATGGACCCCTATGTGTGTTTATTAATAATTATTAATGTAATATTGTGACACATTAACAATCAATTTTAAAATATAAAATATATTTCTTAAAAGATAATTTATTATAAAAAAATATAAGATGACATCAACAATGAAACATATATAAATTATTATGTAAATTGTCAAGTTAATATATTAAATAAAAAGGTTGATGTCAAATTTAAATTTCATAATTTTAAAATTAGTTTCTAACGTTTATTAATAATTATTTTTTGGTGTACTTTATTTTTAACGTTTTATTTTAGGGTAAAAAGACACTTAACATATTATCAAATAGTTATTTTAGTCCTTATTCTTTTTGTTCTCAAATATATTGACCCCTAATGTTTCATTGTAGGATAAAATTACCCCTATTTTAGAACGATAACCGTTTGTTAATTGCACGAACCGAACGACCTCATTGGTAAAAGAATTGTTGTTATTTCTTGAGGTCCTAGGTTCGAGCGCCAGGAATGCAAGGTATGTGAGCGTTTAATGTCAAATGATTGATAGTTATCTTTGAACAGATATTGCCTTCTACTTATATTAACTTGAAAATAAATCAAAAGATATATTTTGATTTCAAAGTATTGTAAAGCGAGGTAGATTCCATATATGTGTAAGCCTTTGAAAACCATGTCTCGGATACATGTGGATGCCAATACAAAAGTCGCTCGAGAGTTTCGTTTTAGCTGACAAATAGAAGTTGACAAGGAACAAACAAACAAAATGAGTTTGTTTGTGTATATATACGAACCGAACACGCTCTCGACATGTTTGCTCATTTATTAAAATGAACTGAACACGTCCTCGTTCGTTGCTTGAACGCTGTACGTGTTCAAGCTCGGTACACGACTTGGTGTTGAGCCAGATGTAATTGGAGTTGCTCGGTGCCTAACCGGCCACCTAGGCGGCTTGTGGATGTGATTATATCGTTATACACTATCTTGTATCGTATATGAATGGCCACAAAAGCTATTATATTGTATCGTATATGAATATTCGGGTTTGAACTTGTCAAAGTGTTGAAATTGTTAGTTATGATAAGGACCGTAAAACCTCTATAAATCAATAATGTCATAATTAATTTAAAAAGATTTTTTTTCGATTTAATAAATCTATATTTTTCTTCATAAATAAAACGCTCGTAGCGACAACAACTATTCACAATTTTTTGTTGCAGTATGAGAATGTAACACCGAAACTCTTGGTCTTTGGGTGCAATAAGGAAAGTTAGAGATAAATACAACTAAATTTAAATTTTAAGAAGAAGCAAACAATAACATAATCATATTTTGGTAAGTTGTCATAGTTATGTTTGTAATTTTATAGAACTATTAATTTATAATATTGGAGGGGTCATAAATTTATATAACGGTGTTTCGAAAAATTATTATGTTATTAATTTATAGAAATTATTAATTTAGACATTGGGCCCAAATCCGGACAAAAAATATTATTTTAGAGAGATTATTAATTTATCGAGTATTAATTTATAAATATGCTGATATATATTGTATATTGATTGAATATAGTATTCTTAAAATTGTTTGAAATTTTACTCATCTGCCATCCTCAAGAGAAAGTGAGGTGGAATAAAATGAAATTTGAAATTTCATTGTAGAAATTACCTTTTTGTCATTTTGGACGATAGGTAAAGAATAAAATGAAATTTGATTGTTTTAGTAATAAAATCAAATCAATATATATATAAAAGGACGGAGCCAGAATTAAATATTGGCAGAGGTCGAAATATTAGACTATTTAAGAAAAATATAAAGACTTATCATGTATTTAAACTCGAAATTCAGCATGAATCAAACAACCTTAGTGATTAAGGGATTGTTGTTATCCTTGAGGTCCCGAGTTCAAACACGTATGTAGGGGTATGAGCGTTCATTGTCATATAGTTGAAAG